GACAGGCTCCTTCCTCCATCTGCTGTAGCTCCAGCACCTGGACAGCTTTCCCCAGTGCCGGCAGGCACCTGCCCCCCACCACACACCCCCTTTTCTGTACACATGCGCACACACACCCTGACACCCCCTAAGCCCTGGCCCTCCATCCCCCACCCCCGTATAGACTTACCTGCATCCAGCTGCCAGCAGTGACTAGAGATGATTGAGTTCAGGATCCTGAGGAAAGGAAGGATGGAGAGCAGCAGACTAAGGACCCTGGACTTCAGAAAAGCAGACTTTGACTTGCTCAGGGAACTCATGGGTAGAATTCCCTGGGAAGCCAGTTTGAAGGGGAAGAGGAGTCCAGGAGAGCTGGATGTACTTTAAGGAACCCATCCTGAGAATGCAGGAACAAACCATCCCAATGCACAGGAAGACTAGCAAATATGGCAGAAGACTTGCTTCTGTTCTGTGGGAACTGTTCAGCAAACTCAATCACAAAAAGAAAGGTTATAAGAACTGGAAACATAGACAAATAAATAGGGAAGAATATAAGAGCATTGCTCAGGCATGCAGGGTTGAACTCAAGAAGGCAAAGCACAATTGGAATTGTGGCTAGCAAGGGACATGAAGGGTAACAAGGAGGGTTTCTACAAGTATGTTGGTAGCAAGAGGAGGATCAGGGAATGTGGGTCCCTTACTGAATGTGGGAGGCAACCTTGTGACTGAGGATGTAGAAAAGGCTGAAGTACTCAATGCCTTTTTTGCCTCAGTCTTCACAGGCAAGGTCAGCTTCCAAAGTACTGCATCAGGCAGCACTGTTTGGGGAGGAGGTGAGTAGCCAACTGGCTAAAGAACAGGTTAGGGACAACTTAGAAAAACTGGACAAGTACAAGTCCATTGGGCTGGATGGGATGCACCTGTGGGTGCTGAGAGAGTTGCTGATGTGATTGCAGAGCCACTGGTCATCTTTGAAAACTCATGGTGGTCAGGAGATGCCCTGAATGATTGGAAAAGGGCAAACATAGTGCTCATATTTAAGAAAGGGAAAAAGTTGGATCCAGGGAACTATAGACCAGTCAGCTTCACTTCAGTCCCTGGAAAAAGCATAGAGCAGATCCTCAAGGAATCAATTTCTAAGCAACTGGAAGAAAAGAACGTTATTAGCAGCAGTCGGAATGGATTCGCCAGGGCTCAGAGGGTAGTAATGATTTGATGTCTAGTTGGCAGCTGTTACCTAGTGTAGTGCCCCAGGGGTCAGTCCTGGGGCTGGTTTTGTTGACTGAGAGGGGACTTAATACCAGCCTTCGACTACCTAAAGGAGGGTTTGAAAGAGAATGGAGCTAGACTCTTCTCAGTGGTGGCAGATGACAGAGCAAGGAGCAACTGTCTTAAGTTGCGGCAAGGGAAGCTTAAATTAGATATTAGGAAGAACTTTCTCACTAGGAGGGTAGTAAAACACTGCAACGGGTTACCCAGAGTGGTGGTGGAAGCTTTATCCTTAGAGGCTTTCAAAACCCGGCTAGACAAAGCTTTGGCTGGGATGACCTAGTTGGAGCTGGTCCTGCTTTGAGCAGGGGGTTGGACTAGATGACCTCCTGAGGTCCCTTCCAACCCTAATTTTCTGTGATTCTATGATTCTACCACCCTGCCTGTCTGTATGGTGGCCACGTGTTTGCATGCGCAGACGCACATTATGCCCCTGCCTCCAATCATTGTTGTACCCCCCACCCCCCTGGCCTCATGCAGCTCCTTGCTAAGGCAAGTTGGGAAGGGCCAGAAAAAACTTCAATGCTGACCAAAGCAAAATCCAAAACATTTCTTGATATTTTTAACCCCCACCCCTCCATCCAGGCAGAGATGGGAGGACCCAAAAAGAGGACATGTCTGGGAAAACCCAGATGTATGGTAACCCTAGTAAAGGGAAAATAGAAGTCTCACTTGCAGGCCGTGGTTCTGGTTTGAATGGAAACAAAAAAGAGAGACCTTCATTAGAATGCAGAAGAAAAGACTGAGGAGTGATTTAATAGCCTTCAACTACTTGAAGCAGGGTTTGAAAGAGGATGGAGCTAAACTGTTCAGAGTGTTGGCAGATGACAGAACAAGTAGTGGTCCCAAGTTGCAGCAAGGGAAAAGCCCTGGCTGGGATGATCTATTTGGGGATGGACCTGCTTTGAGCAGGGGGTTTAAGTAGTCCAGTGTTTCTTAACCTGTGGGTTGCATGAAAGGGTTGTGAGCCAACCTTAAAAATAGATTCTCTTTTAAAGGAGAAAAACAGAATTGGCAAAGTTTCAGCCTGCAAGGAGGTGCTTGGGGCCACCCTCTGCATGCCCCCTTCCAGTTCTGCTCCACACTCTGGGGGAATGGGCGTGGGGGACAGTGGGTTGGGAGTGAGGGCCTGGGGGGCTGTTTTCTACTTAAACTATTTACTGGGTTGGAACTGGCCATCACTATTTACAAATGTGCTCTGTTACAATAAAGGTTGAGAACCACTGGACTAGATGACCTCCTGAGGTCCCTTTCCACTCTCATTTTGTATCATTTTGTGGGTTAAAAACCAGTCTGCAGGGCTGTGAAATGGGAGCTTTGTGGCCAGGAGCAGCAAGCAGACAGCAGCATGGCAGAAGGAAAGCTAGCATCATGGGTGGAACATCAAGACTATTAAAAAGAAGAGAGGGTGGTTAGCACTTGTGGAATGAAGAGTTTAGAAGAGATCCAGTGGATTCTAATAAGCCATGAAGTCAGTGACTCCCTTACTGGCTACCTGGCTAGAAGTGCTGCTAATATGGACAAACTTGCAGGGTTTGGGGGTTGTTGGTTTTTTTTAATGATGCTTGGCATGTCTGGCTAGGAATTTATTTAGGGTGTCCTTTGGCCACATTCAGTAGGCAAGTTTCCCAATTTTTTTTTTAACCCCTGGACTTTAACTACCTGGAGTTCTGACCAAAGCCCAGAGCTGGGACTAAGGTGGCCTCTTAACTGGTTTAAGTGCCTGCACTTAATAGTTCTACATGGTAATTTGCTCTCTGGATCTCTAGTGAAAAAAATCACAATAGAGTCAACCTAATAAACTTATATCACAGTGTTTGTTTCCTTTTGTGTTTACTGTTAATAAATCAGTTCTCAAACTAGATACATACTCAGAGTAGTTTGAGAAAAATCTTTTGCCACAAAAAAAGAAATTTTAACTTACTAATTTAAATTTGTCAACAGAATGAGTTGCTGTTTATAGAGGTGGCCCTTGAATTGCTGTATTGAATCAGATTTGTCATCTGCCTAGGCTAGTGCTCTCCACTGACCATGGCCAATACCAGATGCCTTGGAAGAAAGTGGATATCCACTCTAAATAGATGTGAAACATTTTGACCCCATAAAAATCTTGTTTTAATTCAGAATAATTAGTGGGTCTGGTGGTCTTTCTTGCAAAGTTCCCTATTTGCTATTCTTGCATCTTTATGTTGGCTTGCCCAGGTTATAGCTATATTGTCCAGTTCAGGGTTGTATGCAGATACCTGAGCTACCTGCCACCAGAAGCAGTGCAGCAGTGTTAGTCTGGTGGTCCATCCAGTTTAGTTACCCTTGCAGAGCACCATATTGTTACCTGTAAACATCCCTGGGCTGTATCTAGACCACAGACTTGTGCCTTGCAGCAGTGCCCTCTAACACTGTATTCACCTCCTGACTAGAAGCAGTATGGGTATATCAACATAATGTGTGAGAGATGATTATCAATTCTGATTGTTGGTGCCAGCTAGCTAGCTTGCTTTGCAAGTTAGCCTTGAGGCAGCTTCACTGTACAATCATGGAGAGTGCTTAAGGGTCCTACCACTAGGCATAGTCAATTTACAGTCTGGGCATGGCCTCAGATGAAGCAGAGTGAATCACCATGTAGAATGAAACTTCAGACAAGCTCCAAGTTACAGGGTTGGTTCCTTCCCCCCACCCTCAGCAGTAATTGTCTCTGCTTAAAATTAGTTGTTGCATAGTCATTCCTCGTTACAGTAAATGTCTTTTGTCTTATGTTCCAGATGTCATTACCTGAACCAGTCACCACCTGTCTTTCTCCTGCTGTGCATTATATGGTTTGCAAACTTGGATTTGAGATAAAAGAAAGCTATGATATTAATAACTTTGTGTCTAAACGTGGTGAAGTAAGTTGGAGAACAATCTCAGAACGTGTGTGTTACCTTGAATCGGGTTAGTATTTGCTATGACTGAAAACAAAGCAAAAGTACAGCAGAGCTTAAGTAAACCCAGACTAATTGGGATATTTAATTGTGGTGCAGCAATTACTGCGTTATATGTTATAGAATTCAGTTTCAAGAGGAACTTTTAAATCTTAAAACTGCCTTCCTGAAATGGTAAAAACCAAAACACAAAATATATACTTTTAAGTACTTGTTGCATTTTTCATTGTGGCTTGAAAAAGTGACTGTAAGACAGAGAATATTTAAAGCAAAACAAAGCCTTCTTTTTGGCATCTTCTCCCTCTCCCCATCCATTGGTTTACATCCTTTCTTAGCCACCCGTTGCAAGAAGATAAAATGCTTTGACATATGCTGTTTTCCATTGCTGTTTCTCATTTAGTGATTAATGGAATATTAGTTATATGATGGTGAAGTGTTTGTCTATAGAATAGAATGTGTTATAACATTTCAACCATTGTGGAAGGCATGATGGGACAAATCTGGTGAATTTTGATTTGACAAGTTTCCTTCAGGGCAAGTGCTGTCCCTCATTTCCAAAGGCAGCAAAAGAGATGTGTGATGCTGTCTACCTTGGTCTGATGTTCAGTGGTAGCCAACCTGTGCCACGAGCAGCCTCTGCATGGTATGTGGCAGATAGATGGGCCAGGAAACAGAAAGCAGAGCAGCAGGTTGAGCAGGGATCAGAAAGCAGAGCAGCAGATCAGGCAGAAGAAGGGCATTGGAGTGGCACTTGGGGAAGGTGCAGGGCTAACTTTTGGTGGCCTAACCCTCAAAAAAGGTTGGCCTACAATGTTAGGTCAACTTGGAAGCTATTCTCTTGGTTACAAACTTTGACAGTGGTTTTCAACCTTGTTAGACTGGAGGCATCCCTAGGAAAATGCCAGACCTTAGATTTCACTCACTTTTTTCTGTGAATGGAGTGCAGACAGAAAAATAATAGACCAGCTTTCTGTTGCAAAGAACTCTGATCACTGTAGGTCAGAATGTTTGAAATGCTCTGGATTCCTATGTGAAATCTGAGGTTTTATATTGTGAATCAAGTTTGCATACCTGACAGTATTGATGTTGTGGGGCACCCCATCGCCCTTGCTAAGATTTGCTGCTTTTTGCCAAAGAGTGATATGATTATAAAAAAAAAGAACTAGAACAAAGGACAAGATCTTCAGATGGTGTAAACAGTGTTTCTGTATTGGACTCTATGGAACTAAACCAGGTATGGGCAAAATACAACCCACAAGCTGGATCTGGCCTGCGGGCAAGCACCCACCAATTGATTTGGATGTAGCCCATGGCTGCCCCCATGGGGCTCCACGTGGGCTGAGCTCTGCATGGGGTAGTTGACACTGTGCCCCAGCCAGTGTACATAGTAGGGCTATGCGACAACGGGTGTTTCGATTAGGTTTTGGATTTGGCCATTTTGGAGGGACAGTGATTTGTTTCAGTGTTTTGGATCACTGTTCTGTTTTGATTCGGCCGAATCCGTTTTGGAGTTTCAGCACTTTTTCGGTGATTCAGCCATAGGCTATAATGGGGAATCACTAAAATACCTATAACTTTGTTATTTCTTGCCTGATTTTGATGAAAATTGCAAGGATGGTAGCCCATTCTGAGGGCATGATGCCTGCCAGGTTTCAAGGAGATAGGTGCAAGGGTTTCTGTCAAACTGGACCTCAAATTGTTCAAATCAGAACTCATAACCACTTGCCAGCAGCAGCAGCATGTTATCACCCTACATGCAGATCCGGGGGCCCACGCCCCCCAGGAGGGCTGTGGAGCTGCCCCCGGATCTGCACGTGGGATGACAGCAAGTTGCTGTCCCTCCCCCAGAACACAGGGATTAGGAGAGACCTCAGGGCCAGATCACAGACACTGGCCAGCTACAGATGTCAATATTAGAACAGTCCTTCACCCCCTCTCCCTCTTAGTTTCTGTTTCCCTGCAAGCCTGGCTCTAAAACTCTGAAATTTTCCAAAACATTTTGGATGGTTTCATTTAGTTTCAGAGATGTTTTGGAGCCTTCTGTTTCATTTCACATTCAGTGTTTCAGACACTGAAACAGGCCGAAACACCTCCAAAATGAAACAGCTGCCTAAATTTCGCACAGCCCTAATATACAGCTTCCTTGTAGGGCTGCAACCATTTGGGTGCTGCTTGGCTCCCCACACCTCCAGCAGCTCCTGCCCCTCCAGGGTGGTGGAGGGAGCTACAGCCAGGCAGTTTCTGCCCCACTGTGCAGGGCTTCAGCTCCCGGCTGCCCACAAGTGTCTGCATATCGCAGTGGGTACACAGAGTGGATGGAAGGTAGCCTAAAGCTGGAGCCTGCACGCTGGGGCAGGAGCTGCGTTGCTGTAGCTCCCACCCCTTCCCGGAGAGGCAGGAGGAAAAGACGCTGCTTCTGGAGGCTTGGGAAGCCGAGCAGCACCCAAGTAACAGGAGCAGCCCCACTGGGAAGCTGTGCGGTGGCCAAGGCCAGGGCAAGCTGCCCTGAGTGGGAGCAGGTGGGCTTGGCCCCATGCAGAGTGCTGTGGGTTGGACAGGGTGGGGGGTGCGGACCTCACCTGTACCACCCAAGTGAGCTCTGCTGCATGCATTCCTGCACCCCTAGGCAGCGCCTGGGACCTAGTGCACAAGCAGTGCCCCCCCCCACACACACACAATGTACAAGAATAAGACTGCATTTTGAGCTATTTTGCCATTGCCTCCATATATACAACTCAAACAACATAAATTAGGACAAAATATTTTTTTGAAATAAAATTAAAATATACTAAAAATCAAACATATATTATCAGATATGATTTGTTTTTATCTATAATTTGTTAAAATGATATATTCTAAAAGATTTTCTGTGTCCAGCCCTCAACAGCTGACCAAAACTCGTTAAGTATCCTTCCGGCCAAAATAATTGCCTGCCCCTAAACTAAAATCTAACTTACTGAACTTCCATTGTTTGCATGCCCTTTTTAAATATAAATTTTCTTATATGGGATGGGCATTTTCTTTTGTCCTGTATTTTAGCTTCCCTTAATATTTTTCATCTGCGTTGTATAGAGCAGTAAACTGCCAGTAAAATACTGGCAAAATAGTCTGGGTTGGCCAAAAAATTCCTTGTATGAAATATATACATAAAATATAGAATATTTAATTTCTTATAGCCTGTGAGAGAAGGACTTTTTGCTGCTGTGGTCACACTTCTGTTTTTTACTTTAAGATCAAAGTATTGACTATGTCAAAAGTGTGCAACTGCTAGGACCTGTATGCGAATCTGTTCACTTACACCTACGATCCCTGACCATGGAACAGTTTGAAGTTCAGTATGCATTGTGGTTCCAGTGGACAAATGCAACCGAGGTAGGAAAAAGAATATTGGCAATCATTATTTTGTCTTATGCAGTGCTCTGTGGAAGGTTTAGAACCAAATCACATGAGTAAACAACAAAGTACGCTGATCTTCACATTCTAGTTTTCAGAATTTGAAATTAATCTACCTTGTGTGTAGGAGCAACATAACAATATTGAAGTGTGTTCATTTCCTGCTTGGTTTGACCTTAGAATTACAATTTATGTATGTGTATTACCCACTATAAAAGTGAATAAAATGTCTTGGCATGTCCCAGCAAAATACTTGCAGGATTGTATTTGCTTTTTTTTCAAGGATCTTTCTTTTTCTTTGTCCACTTCCTGGACAAAGGTCTTCCTGAATAGTGCTTCTATGGCTGTTACCTGGTTTGGAAGTTGTAGGCTAGCTATTGTGTGACCAGTGTTTAAACAAATTTCTAGTGGTGATTATTCAGTTTTGTTTCTTCTGCAGCCTTATTTCAGGTTCAGAAAACTTTGTGTTTTGAGAATTTTAATCTTTGTTTTTAATATCAGTGCACTGGCAGTGTGAAACAACTTTCCTTCTTTTAATTTCACAGCTATTTCTTGAAGTATTTGATGTTCTGGAGTGTATGCAGGTTACAGCAATTGCACTTAGCTTAATGAAACTAACATCCTGTCTGGAACGAGCTTTGGGTGATGTAAGTGCAAATTGTTAAGTTTGTTGCATTTTTGGTTTAATAGGTTAAAAATGGACTTTGAGCTCTTATTATACTTGAGAAACCAGGATTGCATTGCATATGGTACTAGATACGGCAGCCACTTAAATGTACAAGCCCCATGCAGTGCATTAAAATCTAGAAGCTAACTGCTAACTACAGTTCCTGACATAGTGGCAAAGTCAGAGGAGGTAAGTCATTTGACCAATTAGGTTGAGGTAATAATAGAGTAGGAGCAACTTCAAAAAATTGTGTAATTTAACCCTTCTCCCCCAAGTTTGTCTCCTTGTATTATGACCTTTTTAGAAATATGTGTATAAAATCTTATAGATATTTCAAGCTTATTTGTTTCAAAATTCCCTACTTATAAATTACTGCAGCATGTGGGGTTGCAAGTAGTCAATATCTGTATGAAATGCTTCATCTTATTCTGTTAGCCTTCCCTCTCATGTAGCTCTTTGTAGTGTCCATGCTTTAGAATGGTATTTGGTTAAAGTGGTCTCTGATGACAAGGATTACTTACTTTTAAGGTTGTTTGAGTGATTATTTGCAAAAACTAACAGACTCTACTGAATGTGAGGAATACTATGGCAATGGATGCATCTGCACTAAAATCTTTGGCACCATAAGAGTCTCATTCTGTAGAGTGGCAAATTGTACCAATGCCCCTTAAGTATGTAGCACCAAAAGAGCTTTCTCTAAGACTAGCTCCAGATTGTCCTCATTAAGAGGCTACCACAGATTATTGCAAACATCCCATAATAACAGTACTGAGACAAAGCACTGGACAAATCAGACTCTACATAAAAATCAGTTTCTTGCCATTAAAGAAGTAGAGCAGAACTTCTTCCTCCAGGTATCCCTCTTCACTACCATTGGGTAGCACAGCAAGAATTTGAAAGCGCTGAAGAATCTCTGCAGGGAGTAGGAAGACCATAAAGGTCCATGGCATACCTCAGCTAGCTGCTATGAGTGTGTCCAGCATACCTTCTTTGCTACCCATATGAGCCATAGTTGTACTGGTTCCCTAGGGGTGAACCCCTGCATAAGACAGCTAAACTCATCTACAGTTTTCAGACCCAGGTCTGTCTCACTGAATAAAGCACTACAATTAATTCAACCCCAAGATAGGGAAGGAGAGAAAATAAGCAAGGACGACCACTTTCTAGAAAGGCAGTAGCCTACATTCATTTCACCCTTTCCCAGATGATGCTGTCAGTCCTCCATTTACTGCCCACCTGAAAGAATTAAAGGTCTTCCAGGTCTTGCCTCAGATGATTAAGGAGACATGTTGGATTCTTCCTGGGAGTCATCTGGGAGAAGTTGCATAAATGATGAATGTGACAGAATCCTGTCAAGCAACTCCTCTTAAGCCAGTGGTTCTCAACCTTCTTAGACTCGCACACCCCTCATTAGACTCAAGGTACCCTTCGGAAAATGCCAACTCTTAGATTTCATCTGTTTTTTCACTACAGAAAAATAAGAGAACTTTTTGTCCTGCAAAGAATTCAGAAAGACCACAAAAGGCCAGAATGTTTTTAACACAGTGAATTCCTACTTGAAATCTATGGGTTTATCTTGTGAATTATGTTTGCACACTTAACAGTACTAACCTACAACACCCTTGAAAGAATCTTAAGGCACTCCAGGGTGCTGCAGAACCCTGGTTGAGCATCACTAAGACACTTTCCAGACTGCTGTCAAGGATGTGTCTGCTGGATCCCCCATGTGCTCTAAGTCTGCAGTTGAAATAGATTCAAAGCATCATCAGTGTCTTGGGGTGCAGATCCTCTATGAATCACCCTTTTCTGAGGGGTGGAATCCATTGTCCAACTACCCTGTCCCCACTGAGCTTAGTGCTGACCCCTGGATATCTTCAACACACCATCCCTCAGAACTCGCCACTGAAGGAGTCCCATACTAGTTTATAGCAAAAAAAAAAAAAAAAAAAAAAAGTGCAAATATAAGTGGCAAACCTACATATGCGTTAATGAATTCTGGTTGCATACATTTTTTTTTTAATGCCAGTGGTTGATACAGCAAAAATTGTTGAACGCTGAATCCATGTCAGTGTGCATCCATCTCTGAAGTTGTGTCCCACTCAGACTAGAAACGTTAGTTGGCTGCTAAGTCTTAATGGCTGGTCATTTAAAATGTGGAAATAGTGAGCTGGCTGAGGCCTAGACAGACTGGTCTGTCCAGGTTCCTTGTCATAATGCCAGTATTTGAAGAAATTGAGTTCATCTTCTGGTAATAAAAGAGCTAGCTGTTGGGAGAATAAATATGAAAGGAAATCCTTGTAGAGGAAGACAGAAAATATTGGGAAGAGGAGGCAACAGACCCTCACTGATTTCAAGAGAAGGTGAGCTTGAGCAAGAGGCATTGCATCCAGGGCTTTTTGTTTTCTAAATCATCTGAATTGTCTTTTTGTAAAACCAAGGAACAGCACTACATTTGGAAATTTGGTGACAGGCAAAAAGATAGATGGGGCTGTCTTTATTTCACAATAAAGCCCATAGTAGAGTTTTTATTTAAGTATTTTGTTTGATCTATTGACTGTAGTTATTGGCATAAAATAGTTAAGTTTTTGTGTACTTGAAGTATGCAGATAATGCACATTGAGAGATTTCTTTCTGAGCATATTTATCCTACTTTGACTTTTAAGGTATTCTTGCTAATTGGGAAAGACTGTCCTTTTCTTCTGAGAGACTTGCTTGCATCTCAGGAGCTTGCTGCAGTCTTTGGACGATCTGTGGTGAGTGTGTAGTTTTCAAGTTAGAGCCTATTGCCTGTAAGGTAGGCTTTCCTTTTACCAAATGGCTGAGTGTAACTTAAAATGAGCAAATTTGTAAATAGTGTATTTTCTTTCATACTACACACCCCCACATAAGATGCACACCCCTTTTTTGGAAAAGGTAGAATGAAGAAGTAAAGATTTTTCCAGAGTTTTGGCTGAGCAGTTCACTCAGCTTTCCTGGTCAAGCAAAAACTACAGTTATAGCACTTTCATAGCTGAATTCCTGGCAGGCCTTCAGCCAAACGATGAAACTATAGCTACTGCTGAGCACTGGACTCTATGGGCAGGGCTCGGATTTTTTTAAAAGAGCTAAAAACAGTCTTAAGGACAGCACAGTTGTCAACAGAAGGATAACGTGATTAGTGAAAGGAGAGAGAGTCATTAACACCTGTGGAGTGAAGAGCAGTAAGCAGGAATTGGGTAGATCTATAATGAATCATGAAGTCAATTGACTCCGTAAGTGCAGAATTAAAAAGGCATAAAAGCAGGATGTGAAGTAACTACTGCACTCCCTTTGGATCTGCCCCTGGATTTTCCCTTCCCTCCTTGCAGGTGCTGAAGGGAAGAGAAAGAGACAAGGCAACAGTCAATTTGTAGCATCTCCATGTTTCTGTTCTGGGCAGAAAAATCAGCTTCCCCACTTGAGATGCACACTTCAATTTTGGGAGCCTAATTCTGTGGGAAAATGTGACTGGGTGACTATTTACACATGCATTGCAGTAGAATAAATAATTGCATGGTAGAATAGTATTTGTATCAGTGAGTAGTATCCTACAGCAGAGTTGATTAGTTTCCTCTGGCCTAATAGTGCTGCATGTGTAGACGGTGATACTTTACTGCAGAGCTAATTAGTCAACTGCAGTAAAGCACACATGTAGATGCCCTCAGAATGTATGCTGCTTCAAGAATCTAATTCAGAGGCGGGCAGTTATTTCTAACAG